AAAGCTGGCAGACTTAATCTGGAAATAAAAAATATATGACAGAAGACAGAAAACTGTTGCAGATTTTCTGTGCAATATGTACTCCTTTTTTACTAGGAGGCAATTTCAGAGGGAGAGAGCAGAAATAATAAATTACAGTGTCTTAATTCTGAGCAATGAGACAGAAATATTGTACACATTCGATGCACAGTTTTTAAGCCTTTTGATATGTCTCGATTTCAAAGGCAAAGACCAGGCAGTTTATAATAAAGAAATCACTGTTGGACTGCACTATATCAGAGGGACTATGTGCACACATATTCTTGATTAAGGCAGTGCGCTAGCTGGGTATGACCATCTGAAGTGGCTACAGACTCTTCTGGCCTGTCTTAGAAGTTCATGTAGGCCAGGGTTCCTAACTAGGAACTTTTGCACCACCAGGTTGAGGATGTGTGCCAGGTAAGGCATGTTTGTAAACTTTCCCTGCCAAAGGGCTGACACAAGGTGGTGCCATTGCCACACACATCCTTTCCCGGCAGAAAATGGTGTGGGGTCAGCCACCTCTGGGCCTACCCCTACAGAGTTGATAGAATCTCTGCCCAAGTTTGGCTCCTGTCCCCTAGGCATACCGACTGCAAAACAGTATGGTGGCACCTACCTGGTCAAGGCTACTCTGGAGATGGCAGGATGATGGCAAATCCCAGCAATACATTATACACCAATGAAGAAATACCATCATCTATAGGGAACTACAAGTCCCAGCAATACAGTACACACCAATGCAGAATACCATAATCTATAGAGGACTACAAATCTAACCATTACATTATACAGCAATGTGGAACACCATTCTCCATTGATGGGCTGCTCCTAGGTATTTATGAAAATGTCCCCACATTGCCCTGCAAAAATTGCCTTTTTGCCACCCTTCCCCCTGGATCTGCTACTGACTTGACCTTCGATCCCAGCTATGGGGTACAGAGCTGACCTGATCTCCCATCCCAGCTATGGGGTACAGAGCTCGCCTGACTTCTCATCTCAGTTATGGGGCACAAACTTCACCTGACCACCCATCCCAGCTATAGAGTACAGAGCTCACCTGACTTATCATCCCAGTTTTGGGGTGCAGAGCTCACTTGACTTCTCATCCCGGCTATGGGGTATAGAGCTCACTTGACCTCTCCCCTGCAATCCTCCTGCTGCTGCCACCGCCTATGTGTCCACTGAGCCCCCGGCTCTCCCCCTGCCACTGTGCCACCTCTTTCCTCTTCCACCACCATCTCTGTGTCCAGCCCACTGACCCCCACTGGCTCCTCCTCTGCCACTGTACCCACCTCTCTCCACTCCCCCTCCAGCTCCGTGTCCACTGACTCCCACTCCTTTTCCTGCCACTGTGCTCACCTCTCTCACCGCCTCTCTGTCCACTGACCCCCTCCAGCTTTTCCCCTGCCACTGTGCCGACCTCTCTCACCACCTCTGTGTACACTGAACCCCCTTCCAGCTCTTCCCTTGCCACTGTGCCCACCTCTCTCACCACCTCATTGTCCACTGACCCTGCTCCAGCTCTTCCCCTGATGTGGTAAGTAGTGTGGGTGTTAGCATGCTGTTTATACACAATCGGGTGTATTCACTAGGCTGCCAAGGGCAGCCGATTGAACAACTGACCCCAAGTGAAGTGAGCTGAACACCGTTCGGCTATTCACTTCAGGCTTGTACGGCTGATTTCAGCCGTATATCGGCTGAAATCAGCCGTGCATTGGCTTGCTTCGCATGGCTTCGGGTCGGCTGACCCGAAGTGCAGAAGGTGTTCGACTCAGCCGATCCAACATCTGGATAGGCTGAGCCAAACCTCCGGCAGGCTACTCACTGCTGTACGGCCTATTCTTATAGATGCCGAACATCGGTGAGTGAATAGGGACCGAGCAGAACAGAAAAATAGTTTAAAACGTTTTTAAAAAGTAAATAGAAAACGATTGCGGGGAGCTAGCAATGACAGCTATCTCCGCCCAACAGTTTTCTAATGTCCGGCGGTTTTGCTGCCGTAAAAAAAAAAAAAAATCTCCCGGGCGCTCTGGCCGCCCAGGAGAGAAACACTGATTTATCTTTTTGTTTCTTTATTCTGACACGGAGCTGTGTCAGAATAGAAAAAAAAAAAAGTTTTTGCCCATTGGAATGCATTGCTAGATTCCTATTGGCTATTTCAATTTGCAATAGCCAATAGGAATCTAGCAATGCATTCCAATGGGCAAAAACTTTTTTTTTTTTCTATTCTGACACGGCTCCATGTCAGAATAAAGAAAAAAAAGAAACAGCAGTGTTTCTCTCCTTGGCGGCCGGGAGCAGGAGACTCCCGGAGCGCCAGGGAGAGTTTGCTGTTTTGAGATCAGTGTCCCTGGTTAGCAGGTAACCAGGGACGCTGATCTCTCTGCAAGTGGCTGGAGCCAGCCGTAAGATCACGGCTGGCTCCGCCCCGTTGTCAGAAGCAGGCTGTCGGCCGAAGCTACGACTAGATCCTTCGGCAGCTTCGTGAATAGACCCCTAATAGATGCAACATCTATTCTTATATATTATACTGGCATTACTATTTCTGCCAGTAGGCGGTAGTATTGTGTTGGATGTTTGCAAAATGGAATGTTCTTTCTAGTGGAACTACATGGTTATGATGTAATTTCAATTCTTTGTGTTCTGGTGGGTTTCCAATAAAGCACAACAGACTCAAACATGTGTCCAGCAACATCCTAAATGATAAGAGTCATGTCTGCAGCAGCTTTCTAACAAAAAGCAAGTGATTCTAAATGTTATGTTCTAAAGTTTTAACTGAACTTTTAAAGAACAATTCTGACTGTCAGTGGGAGTAAAGCATTTAAAAATAAAATTAAAGGGCTTGTGGTAGGTGCTGGTACTGCGTATTAGTGCGTTCTACCAGAAAAAAGCCCTGCTTGTGGCCTTGTTGTGTCATAGCTGTGGGTACACATTTTTAAAGGAGAATTATGAGGTGAGTGAAAATCAACTCAGCCTCATAATCTGAGCTGACCTGTGACAATGAAACTGTCGCAGGTCGGCTCAGTAGATCAGGAAGTGAGCGAACACATGACTGTCACTCACGGCTCCCTGCAGTGATTCCCCCCCTCCCCTGTCCGATCCTCCAGCGCTGACTGGCGGAACGGACGTGGGAGGGTGCGGGGACAGCTCGCTCTGCCTCTGCATAGGCAGAGCCAGCTGTCAATCCCGCAGCTGGGTGGATCACGACATCAATGTCAGGATCCGTTCCGGCTGTGGCGTCTCAGTATACCGCGAGCTGTAGCTCGCAGTATACTGAGCTTTGGGTCACGGGAGAACGCTAGTTTGTGTTCTCCCATGACCCTTAGGAAAAGCCCTGACCCCATAGTTCTATAAGAAGTAAAGTTACAGCTGCACAATGGCTGGCCATGAAGCAGTGAGTATCACTCATGGGAGCAGCTGCACATCCGGCTTAATAAAGAAGCTTGCACTTCGAAACGCGTAGCCAACCTGCCTAACCGAAGAACCTTTTTCAACATCTTTTTCTTCCCCCCCATCGGCGGCCAAGTCCGTGCAGTCAGCCGTCCCCGAACACTGTGCCCCGTTGCTCACTCCCCTCCAGCAGCAGACGTCCATTGTGGCCTCATTGCGGCCTCTGACCCACGTCAATACACAGGCTCCCTGCAGACGCCGCTCCACTGTGCTGCGTTCTGGAAGCCTACAACATTTTCACCCTTCCAGACCAGAGGACATTGAGCCCAGAGACGGCAGGCCCTGAACAGCCCCGGGCTGCCACACTCTGGCAGCTCCTCTGCCTCTCCACCTCCCAACTGTGTCTCCCGGCAACAAGGACGCCACAGCTCAAGCTTTGAACTGCCCCCAGCCTGGATATTGCAACAGAGACTTTGTCTCCTCTCCAGCATTCAAGATTTTACAATTGCTGACATCACACCTGCGCCAACCCCACGATCTTCAGGAACTTTATCACCACCGTCGCCAATGACAACGCATCCTTCCTTACTCAATGGTGAGTCTCTACACTCCACACTGTGTTTCCATCAATTGTGATTTCTCACCTCTTGTTTCTACCCCTTGTGTCTCCCTGTGATCCCCAAATTACCCAAACCGTGAAGGGGCACACCCGCTCGCCCCCCTATCACCATCAAGTGAGTCGGACCACCCCCACAACCAACCAAGCTCCACGGCCCGGCCCACCTCAATCTCTTCCCGGTAGCGCTTCCCTCCTTCCCTTTTCTCTTGACTCATAGGAGCAAGCTGCTTAAACTCTGCAGTAGAATCACGCACCCTATGGAGCCAACACTGCTCCTGCAAAGACTCACATGTAATTGAGTGTTGTCACTTTAGGAAGGACAACTCCGAAAAAGGATTACCAGGTAACAAATAATATAAAGCAAGCTTGCAGAAGAAAAGAAACACATTTCAGGAATAAAATAGTTACCCAAAAAGTAAATGATCCCTTAGCACACAAAACCGGTTCTATAAGTAGGTACCGTCTATTTTAGCTCTTCTAAAAAGACTGCTTATAAGGCACATATAACTTTAGGGGGAGTCAATACATAGGGAGCTATTTTGGATATTTTTATCTAACATTAATTCACACTGCTATAGCAATTTGAATTATGTACCTACTTTGTTTTAGTTTAAATGATTTGCTTATTTTTTATAAAATGCATATGGCAGTAAAAATATATTTATATAATTTTAGTGCCAATAGGGTAGTCTTATCAAATTCATGATACCTTAAATAATACAAAAAATGGCAATGTTTAAACTAATGCTAGACTGAAAAGCAAACAATCTGACTCTGAAACAATATATTTATAATAGTAGTAATATGGTAAATGGGAAAATTATTGGATCATATTACAGAGAAATATGCTTTTGCTTGTTGATTAGAACAAATGGCCAAGGGTCTGAAAAAGGTAACTTACAAAATATTATTCTTGTAAGCATCTAATCACTGTACCAATACAGTCATGTAATGGGATAAACTCTGACATTTTAGCTTAGACAGGCCACAGGTGAAGACTCCAGCCATGGCAATTCTACCAGAGTCAGTGACACTTTTCCTAGTATGCACCCTGGTTATGATGTGCGTGAAAATCCTACTGGACCTGCCCAAAAAGAAGACATACACATTCCCCCCAGGACCCAGGCCTTTACCAATAATTGGGAGCATGCACATTCTGGATATTATCAGGCAGGATCACACTTTCATGGAGGTGAGTCTTTAAAAAGTTTAAAGGGTCGTATTTAGGTTTTAGGTAGATGCTGGAAAGTCATAAAGTTGAACGGTTTCTTCAACTCGAGAGGCAAGATTTTGTATGTGCATTACTTTTTTACCTTTATTAAACAGTTGCTTTTCTACTGCACTTAGATGTGTGTGCCGGGTTTCTTTGTTGTTTTCACTTTATTTAAAGTAACTCACATTTTCACATTCAGTAAATATCAATACAAAAAAGGAGTAAGTATCTTGCCGGGAGTATTAAGCCAGATAACTAAGCACTGTTTAATGCAAAACACATTCAGGATTTGATCTTGCCAATGTGTATGCCAGATATTTTATTTGTAATTATGTTGTAGCTTTCCCTACAAAGCTACAACATAATTACAAATTAATAAAAAATTGAGGCTGAGTATGGGAGGGAGTGATACTGTTTAGATGGGACTTGATTTTGCAAGAGCCAGCACTGGTCAAATTCTTCGGTATTTATTTACATGTCCGGACTGTTTTTTTTACTATTGTTAGCCAATTTGGCTTACAGCATAAGATGTCTCCTGATCATTTGTTATCTGTTCTAAAGGATCAGAATGTTCATATAAATCCACATACCAAACGGCTTATTTAATGAAAAAAGTGCAAATGGAACTGATGATGTCCAAAATTCAGTCAAAACAGCAACCTGATTTCAGTTTATTGCAGTTTATTTTAATAAAATAAAAATATTGAATGGTTTTCAGTAAGCTTGTTTGTACAGCAGAGTTATTTTTACATCTTAGCAGAAAATGATTTTGTTATAAAATTTATATATAATACTATTGTGGGCTGAGTGAAGGAAACTAAGATTTTGTAGAGTTTTGCTCTCTGAAACATTAATTCTATATATTATTTTTAAATATGCTTGTACTTAATTATTAATTACACTGAGTGGCCAGATTATTATGACCACCTGACGTTTGTAGGCAAATTAGCTATAATTAGCTATAATTTCGCGCTGAAGTTGCTAGAGGGCAGTGGCAGAACTACCAGCGTCGCAAAGGTCGGGCCCTGGAGTTCCGCCACTAAGAGGCGGCCCAGCACAGGAGGATGGGCCAGAGACAGCTCTTTAATTAGGCAAGTAATTAGGCAAGTAATAACTTACCTAATGTACAAAAAAGCATGGCACAGCATGGATGGCGCGCCGAGGGCGGGTGGTACGGGGAAATGCGCATCCTACTGCGGGTTCAGATCGCTCCCCCCCGCCGGCACTTCACTGAGACACGGCTCCGTCTCCAGCCCAGCAGCGAGAGCAGGAGGGGAGAGAGAGAGAGCCGACACACAGAGCAGAGGGAACTCCCGCGCTCCCCCGCCGAGGCTGCACTCCACATTGCCCTGCTGGGACTCCGCTCCATCCTGCAGTGGCAGAGAACGGGACGATGGAACTACCGCCGGGCGGGCACTGACGGGAGGATGTGGAGGACGCCGGGGCTGGGGCCCAGTACCGCCGGTCCAGTGAAGGAAGCGGTCGCTGACGGTCCGGTGCTGTAAGAAGCAGGCTGCGGCAGGTAAGGAGCTGCAAGGAAAGTGCTCCCCCCGACCAGCCCACCTGAGACACTGCAGAGCTTACCATAGACAGTCTCTGTGGGCTGTGCAAGATCTATGATGGGTTCTGCTAGAGGGCCAGACTATTATAAATAGGGAAGCAGGTTGTTTACCACGACAGTAGAAGTGATTTGTTTCTGAAGATATGGGTAAACAACGCGATTTAACAGCCTTTGAACGTGGGATGATTGTTGGCGCTTGGAGCCATGGAGCGAGTATCAGCAAAACAGCAGAATTTGTTAAATGTTCAAGAGCAGCTGTTGTTAAAGTGTTTAAAGACTGGATTGTCAGCCGAAAATCTGGTTCTGAACGTGCGAATTGTGGCCGTCAATGTTAGAGTGGCAAAACTGGTACAAGACAACAGAAGGGCAACAGTGCAGTGTCAGATTCCTCGCATCACCTTTCAACATCTCGTGGAGTCACGAGGCGGCCCAACGAAGTCATCTCGTGGAGTCATCTCGTGGCCCAACGAAGTACTGATGGGGTGGTCATAATAATCTGGCCACTCAGTGTATATTAATACGGAAGCACTTTTGCAATCCGATTCATTTCAACTTTTATCAAATGGCAATAAGCCTGAATTGACTATTGGAAGTAGCAGCGACAACAGATCTAAAAGTCATCTTCCAAAAAAAACTGAAGCCTTTAATTTCACACTGACTGACTAGTGGCAAAGCAGTTTAATAGTATACGTTGTGAGCTTCTTTACTTGCAGTACCATACCGCATTGTCTAACAAAACATAACAGCTCTTCAAAACCACAACCTCACATTCCCTGAATCCCTTCGCATCCCCATATCCTCAGTTAACCCTGACATTTTCAAAATATAGACTTCAGGTATGTGTTTGGTAGAACTCAACTAGCAGCAGGACAGTACATGAGCACTTGACTAAGCAGGATATAGACCGAGACATTGCAGGCTTTATCTTCAAATAAAAAATAGAGTGTATTATTCGAGAGACAATGCCACAAATATTGTACAGTGGCTGTACAGTGCAGTTCCAGATGTTAACAGACATTAGTCATCTGGAGCTGCAAAAACTAAAAAATAGTAGGGATGCACCGATATATCGGCCGAAAATGGCACTTTGGCAGAATGCCGAAAGTGCATTTTTTCTGCCGATACATAGGCGCATCCCTGCTTTCTTTCCTCCCCGCTGGGCGCTGTTCTGTGTCCCAGCGGGGAGGAGAGAAACTGTGATAGCCGGCCGAGGGATGCGGGACTAGAACGCTGTGAGCGGCCGGCGTCTCCTATCAGCCTCATATCACAGTCCGGCAGAGCGCTGTGTGGGCGGAGACAGGCCACGCTGTTACAGGAGTCTGAGCTCTCCTCCCTACACCGCTCAATCAGCCTCCTGTGACAGCGTGTCAGAGAGGAGAGCAATGTACAAACACTCAGCGATCGCTGAGTGTTTGTAGATAATTGAGGACAGAGTATGTTTACTATATCCTCAATTATGAATGAATGGGAGTGATCTACATCCCCTCCTGTTCATTCATGATTGTGGTTATTATTATTATTATAATACAGGATTTATATAGCGCCAACAGTTTGCGCAGTGCTTTACAATATAAGGAAGACATTACAATTACAATACAATTCAAGACAATATGGTGAGGAGGGCCCTGCCCCAGAAGGCTTACATTCTAACGGGAGGGGGAAGTGATACGTGAGGAGGTAGCTGTGTGGGGATGAATTGTTTGAGAGATTGATATTTAAGTGGTTAGGTTGGATAAGCTTCCCTGAAGAGATGAGTCTTAAGGAAATGCCTATGGTAGACAGAGTAGGAGATAGGTGGACAGGTTGGGGTAATGAGTTCCACAGAACGGGGGAGACTCTGGTGAAGTCCTGGAGGCGAGCATGGGAGGAGTTGACAAGGGAGCTAGAGAGCAAGAGGTCTTGGGAGGAGTGTAGGGGACGTTTAGGGTGATACCTGGAGACAAGGTTTGAGATATAGCCGGGGGCAGAGTTGTGGATGGCTTTGTAAGTGGTTATAGTAATCATACCATGTCCTCATGTTATCAATGAACCGGAACACTCATAGAGAATTCCTGTTCATTGATAACAGGAGATACAGAAAAAGAGATTGAGGACTCAATCTCTTTTTCTATTTTAAAAGGGAAATATCAGGGGTCTGTTTAGACCCCTAATATTTGCCCGAAGCCCCTAAAAGTAAAGTAAAAAA